TTTTAAATTCAATGCTATGCATATATAAAATAATTAAACCAAAAATACCAACACAATTCATCATATCAAAACTCATAAGCCCTTTTTATAAAATCAAACCAAAAACACTAACACCTCTCCACCATCGTATCTTGTTTTGTTCTATCTTTCCAATTAACACCATTTCTTAGGTTGCTTGTGCACATTTCCGACGACTATTCCTAAAAGATTCAACAATTGCATACAAATAGTCATATAGCGAACAAAACGAAGATTTTTTTTTTTTCTTAAACCCAAATTTAGGAAAAAAATTTGTAACTACAAAGATTTTTTTTTGTTCCGATGGCATCTTCCGGCACGGGAATGGGTTCTCCGTGCGGCGCATGCAAGTTTCTAAGAAGAAAATGTGTGCCGGATTGCGTATTTGCACCGTACTTCTCCTCAGAAGAAAGTGCGGCGAGATTCGCTGCCATGCACAAGGTGTTCGGGGCAAGTAACGTTTCCAAGATCTTACTCCACGTTCCTGTCCAAGAACGGTATGAGGTTGTCGTCACCATGGCCTATGAAGCTGAGGCTCGTCTCCATGACCCTGTCTACGGTTGTGTCTCTCATGTTTTCGCACTTCAACAACAGGTAAAATCGATTAATATTCTTGTTTTTTTTTTATGCATACCATATTAACAACAATGGATATTTAATTTGAAGTTCATCTTGTATCGCCTTCTCTTTTTTATCCTATAGATCGTTGGAGTGATACAATTTTTTTTTCTTCGGCTAAACAGTTTCATTTATTTCAACTTGAAGTTTCAAACTCTATCGTTGTAATGATAATAATTAGTATTTTTTGGTTAAAAAAATATCAACTATATATGATTCTTATTGATTCGATTCTTATTTTGTGTATTTATTTGTATGTTAAGATTTTGTCTTTACAATCTAACAAAAATGTTTCTATCAAATTTCATTAAACAATATTTTAACATACAATTGGATGTGCGTGTGTATATAGGTGGCTTTCTTGCAAGCACAAATGATGCAACTAAAGGAAAACCTCGCCCACCAGACCATCACCACAGTCGCCGGAGATCTGAGAAACAGATCGGACAAGACGTGGCAACAAACAAGTGGGTACACGATACCGTACAAACCATACAGTCACGAAAACCCTAATAAACCGGTCTCACCACAGAACTCAATCGAATCGTTGGAACACAGCAATATGAGTAGTGAAGTCATGAATAACGTGCAAGAGATTCAAACCGGCCGGTTTGCGTTTCATCAGGACGGTTATCCAAACAAGAAGAGATCAGTGAGTTACTGTAATAGCGATCTTGAGGAGCTTCAAGCTTTGGCTTTTAGGATGATGGGAAACTACTGATTTAGTAATTAATAAGACGTAGTGCAAATTATATGTCATGTGCTTTTCTTTAATTTCTTCTTATTATTTCTTTCAACTGTTGAGCCTTTTTTCTCTAGAAAAAAAAAATATCGATCGATGCTTTCTATTTATCGAGGAAGAAACATTTTGTGCCCATGCAATGCAAGATAAAAAAGGTCAAAGCGAGAGAAGAACGACCTAGTCGCACCTACAGTACACTCCACCGTTTTTGCTAGTTTGGAACCGGCGGTCGGCGGCTACCTCAGTGCCGGTGTCGGTTCCCCTGTTTATAGTCTCTTTGCTTTTGTTCTCGTTGTTTTTAGTCTCACA